AGTACTGGACTACCTAATTAAGTGATTAGGGTTTGTAGTTATCGTTTGGTGTAGTACTACAGTTCAATTGTATGTATTTCTTAGTTGTTACAGTTCAATAGTTGTGCTCTACCTCATGATTATCTGCGACTCATTTATTGATTTCAACTATATGGTTCTAGACGTAAGATTTTTTTTTCTAGTTTTGTCACATCTAATCATGTTGCTACTATCAAATTCGCATCAATTTTGGTAGTATGGTATCAACCGAAACCGAACCATAGAGTTATTTATACCACATTAACCAAAGTATCATAGTTGTACTTACCAGATAACCGTATTTGACGAACCGGACGCTCGGGGCTACAAATAATGACATAATTTGAGCACTATTTACACCAAAAATCACACTTTTATAATATGCAAAAATAAGCACATAATAATGGAAATTCTACATAAAAGATTTTTTTGGGAGGAAACGAATTAGGGGCATTGGTATTACCCTTTAAGAATGAAGAAAACTAAAAAAATGAACAAAATAACCACAAATTTTGCGTACAATTTACACATAAATAGCCCTTTTTATAATATGCAAGAATACACATATAATAGTGGGATTTTTAGAAAAAGGAAGTTTCTAAGACATAATGAATTAGTGGCATCGGTAATACCCTTTAAAAAAGAAAGAGAATAAGAACATAATTCATACATATTTTACCTAGAAATTGCGCATTTTCTATAAAAAGAAAGATTAAGCATATAGTAATAGAGTTTAAAAAAAGAGTTTCCTAAGAATGAATGAATTAGTCGCATTGGTATTACTTTTTATGAGGAAACAAAATAAAAATACCAAATAAATTTGCACACAATGTACGTAAAATTGTATTTTTTTTAATAATATGTATAAGTATATAATAGTGGAATTTTTTTCCAAAGAAGGAATGAATTTGTGGCACTTGTATTACCCTTAAAGAAGCAAGAAAAAGAAACAAAACTAAAAAGAATCAAAATAATGAAGTTTTCTCAGAAATAATAAATTAGTGGCATTATTATTACCCTTTGAGAAGAAAGATAATTAAAAAACTAAACAAAAAATGAAAATTTTGGACACGATTACCTATAAATTATTTTTAGAATATGCAAGTATAAGCATATAATAATGGATTTTTTGTAAAAAAAAAAAGGAAGTTTCGTTAGAGGGAATAAACTACTAGCATTGGCATTTCCTCAAAGAAGAAACAAAATGAAATAAAACCTAAGAAATCAAAAATAGAGAAATTTTATAAGAAAGAAATAATTAGTGACATTGGTATTACCCTTGAAGAAGAAGAAAAGGAAACAAAAACGAAAACAAATAATGACAAAATATGCACAAAATTGAATAGAAATTTCTTTTTTATAATATGCAAGTATACGCATATAATAACGGAATTTTCACACAAAGAGTTTGTGGCATTGGTATTACAATTAAGGGAGAAACAAAATGAAATTAAGAAACATATAAATAATGAAGTTTTCTAAGAAAGATTGAACTAGTAGCAATGGCATTATCATTCAAGAAGAAATTAAATTAAATTAAAACTAAATCAAAATATGATGTTTTCTAAAGAAGAATGAACTACTGGTATTGGTATTACTCTTTAAGTATAAACAATAAAAATATAAAAATAACCGAAATAATGAATTAATGGCAATGGTATAATCTTTAAGAAGAAGAAAATTTATATAAAAACAAAAAAACAAAATAATGATGTTTTCAATGGAAGAATGTATTAGTAGCATTGATATTATCCTTTAAGAAAAAGAAATAAAAAAGCATATTAGTGGAAAATAACAAAAACAATTTGCACAAAATCTACACAGGAATTACGTTTTTTATATCATTTGCAAGTATAAGAATATAATAATGGATTTTCACAAAAAAGTAGCTTTGGTATTATGATTAAGGAGGAAGGAAAATGAAATGAAAACTTAAAAAAATGAAAATATGAAGTTTTCTAATAAAGATTGAAAAAGTTGCAATAGCATTACCCTTTAAAAATAAATAAAATGAAAGAAAAACCAAATTGAAATAACGAAGTTTTCTTAGGAAGAATGAACTAGTGGTATTTGTATTACCCTTTAAGAAAAAAACCAAAAAATAAAAAATCAAATAATGAAATTTATAAGGAAGAATGAATTAATGAAAATTGTATTACCCATTAAGAAGAAATTATATAAAAACTATAATTTCAAAATGATGAAGTTTTATATGGAATAATGAATTAGTAGAATGGTATTACCGTTTAATTAAAAAAACATATTCATGGAAAATAATGACAAAATTTGCACAAAATCTACACATGAATTACGTTTTTTATATCATTTGCAAGTATAAGAATATAATAATGGATTTTCACAAAAAAGTAGCTTTGGTATTAAGATAAAGGAGGAAGGAAAATGAAATGAAAACTTAAAAAATGAAAAATATGAAGTTTTCTAATAAAGATTGAATTAGTTGCAATAGCATTACCCTTTAAAAATAAATAAAATGAAAGAAAAACCAAATTGAAATAATGAAGTTTTCTTAGGAAGAATGAACTAGTGGTATTTGTATTACCCTTTAAGAAAAAACCAAAAAATAAAAAATCAAATAATGAAATTTATAAGGAAGAATGAATTAATGAAAATTGTATTACCCATTAAGAAGAAATTATATAAAAACTATAATTTCAAAATGATGAAGTTTTATATGGAATAATGAATTAGTAGCAAGGTATTACCGTTTAATAAAAAAACATATTCATGGAAAATAATGACAAAATTTGCACAAAATTTACAAAGCAATTACATTTTTCTAATATTCATGTATAAGGATATAATGATGGGATCATCACGAAAATGAAATTTCCAAAAAATGAATGAATTAGTGGCATTGGTATTACCATTAAAGAAGAAATAAAATGTAACTAAAACTCAAAAAAATAAAAAAAATAAAATTTTCTAAGAAATAAGGAATTTGTTGTAATGGTATTACCCTTTTGGAAGAAAGAAAATGGAATAAAAACTAAATCAAAATAGTAAAGTTTTAGGAAGAATGAATTAGTGGTATTGGTATTACTCTATAAGAAGAAAGAAAATATAAAATCAAAATAATGAAATTTTGTAAGGAACAACAAATTAATAACAATGGTACTACCCTTTAAAAGGAAAGAAAATAAACTAAACTAAAACAAAATAAAACTAATAAAGTTTTGTCGGGAAGAATGAATTAGTGGCATTGGTATTAACCTTTAAGAAAAATAAATGAAGAAAGCATAACGAAAAGATTTACATCAAAATTGCGCAACTGATAATATGCAAGAGCATATAACAGTGGAATTTTCACAAAGAAGAAACTTCACAAAGAAGAAATGAATAGTGGAATTGCTATTACCCTTGAAGAACAAAGAAAATGAAATAAAGCAAATTCAAAATAATGATGTTTTCTAAGAAGAAATGAATTATTGCATTGTTATTACCCTTAAAGAACAAAGAAAAGGAAATAAAAATGATATTTTCTAAGTAAAAATGAAATAGTGGCATTTTTTTCTTTAAGAAGAAACAAAGTAGGAATAAAAATAAAAAATCCTATACACAACTTTGCACTAAAATTTCAGTTTTTTAAGATGCATAGAATAGGCATATAATAGTCCAATTTTCACACTCTATTATAGTTCACACGCTCATTGTACAACACTTGCATGAATACATTTACAACTCACTTAACCTCACAAAAATATGCATAAGAAAAAAATGGAAAACTTGATAAAAAAACAAAAGCAAAAATGAATAAAAATAGAAAAACTGAGAAAAAATGAAGGAAGGGAGGGAAGGGCTTGGTCGCACAGCTAACTGAGCTTCAGCGCATGAACCAATTGACTAGCCCAAAACTGATTTCACTAAAAATTCCTCGCCAAAAACAAGATTTACCATACAAAAGAAAGAGAAAAGAGCACGAATCTTGGAGTAGCAATCAACAGCCAGAAAATTTGACTGATGCAAATTCAATTTTCAGGCGACTTGCAGGTAGCTAAAATGAAACTAAAACTACTTATGACTTATAATATTTGATTATGTATAGTTGTAACAATATTTATTGAATATAATATAATATAATTGAATGGAAAACATTTTTCCATGCATAACTGAATGTTGTGATGGATTTTTTCGCATGCATAATTACATGTTGAGGTGGGACTTATCCCATAGAGTACATAAGTGTGTGCTGACACGTTGCTTGTATGTTTTTTTTTTTTTTTGAAAAAGAAGAAGTGGATATAGGATACGATGCTTACATCCACTTGATGATATGAAGTGTTTGCATATATGTGCTCCAAAATAAGACAAATGAAGAACTCTTCAAGGAGCAGTTTCAATTTTACGTCGATTCGTGTTCTTCGTTCTTCGTATGAGGGTATTGGTCTCCATTGGTCTCAGCCTGCTAATTATTACTTCCAAAACAAATGAGGAAGCCGACGATTTCTTTAACGCGGAGAGCCAAAAAAAAGTGCACAGAGATCTTGAACGGCATTTTGACAAAGTCTCCCCCCACAAAACCATGATCAGACGGCTGCTGACTAATATGGCTACCAAGACGACCTCCGTAAAAAGCTTGCCGTGCCGATCATATCATTTCGTGCTGCAAAGTTGGTCGCATGCATGATCGACCAGAGAAAATATGTATTGGCCGTCTGATCTGTTCTTCTAGGCTGCCGATGGAAGTTGCATTGGTCGTGTCAGACCAAGAATTCAACCATGCAAAAAGAAGTCTCTCCAAAGCGTGCATGTATTCCCAAAGCGTGCTTGTTGTCGCCATTGATTCACTCCTCGTGTTCACGTACTCCCCTTCTCCCGACCGGCCTCTATAAATGCCAGCGCTTGTCGCCAGCTGATCACACACACCGCAGCCAATCCTACTCATTTGCAAAGCGCTATAAGCTCAGCTCAGCTTGATCTAGCCTACCTTCTTCCTGCTGCAAGAACCGGTCCGATAATCCGCCATGAAGATTGTGGCAGCTGACGAGCCAAGGACGAGCAGGAGGTACGCACTGCTGCTGGCGGCCCGGGACTCGGAGTACGTGCTCAAGGTGTACGGCGGCTACTTCAACGTCTTCGTGAGTGCGTTTGGCTCTGGCGGCGGCGGCGACGGCGACGGCAACGGCGACGTCTGCGAGACGTGGGACATGTTCCGGGCGGTGGACGGCGAGCTCCCCGACCTGGACGACGTCGGACGATACGACGGCTTCGTCATCAGCGGCAGCCCTTACGACGCGTACGCCGACGAGCTGTGGATACTGCGGCTGTGCCTCCTTGTCCAGGGGGCCGTCGCCGCCCGGAAGCGCGTCCTCGGCATCTGCTTCGGCCACCAGGTGGTATGCCGCGCTCTGGGCGGCCGCGTCGGGAAGGCCAGGCGCGGCGGGTGGGACATCGGCATCCGGGAGATGGCCATGGCGGCGACGCTGCCGCCGTGGAGGTTCCTCGACGCGCTGCGGGACCTTCCCCAGTACGCCAAGATCACCGAGTGCCACCAGGACGAGGTCTGGGAGGCGCCGCTGGGCGCCGACGTGCTGGCGTCATCGGACAAGACCGGTGTGGAGATGTTCTGCGTCGGCGACCACGTGTTGGGCATCCAGGGCCACCCCGAGTACACCGGCGACATACTCCTGAGCCTCGTCGACCGCCTCTCCACCAGCCAAACCATCACCGTGAGTGCTTCCCTCTAGCTATGTGGTGCATATGCGCCATTGTTATAGGATCTGATTTGCCAGTTTGCACGTTGCAGGTGTCGTTCGCTGAGGATGTGAAGAGGCAACTGGAGGCTACTAGCCCTGACAGAGAGTTCTGGCTCAAGCTCTGCAAAAGTTTCCTCAAGACTGAAGAATCATACTACTAGCTTCGTGCACGTATATGTCCGTAAATAAACCATCTACTGGCACTAGCGGCGTGGTGTTAATGCCAGATGACAACTTGAAGTATTGGATTGAAGAAAGCTTGGCGTCAGATTATGTGCAGAACCATGCAAATTGTTGTTGTTACATCTATCCTTTTGATACGTATAACATGTTGTCGTTAACAGGCAGGGACAGACCGGATGCTGACCTTTGGTTCCTATTTTGGGAATCCCGCTTGGACGCAGCATAGAAAACTATTTGCTGTTTATTTTAGAGTGTGATGATGTGCTGAAGTAAGACAATGAAATTATGTCCAACCCTGTATGATCGAGTGTGGATTATGACCTCTTTGTTTTGTTTTTTCTGTCTAAGGCTGCTTACTTTCTGCAGTCAACCGGCCATATTTCTTCAGTTTAACAGGGTCCAAAGTGACTGCGTTTTTCAGGATAGTTCATAGGTTGGCAATTGTAAGAATATCATTGCTAGCATGCATGGAACTTGTCAAAATACCACCGTCAACACGAAATTTGTTAAAATGCTACTGCAAAAAAGAAACGTACAAGAATACCACTATACATCGTTGTGGTCATTTTACCATTCTAACAAAGGGTAAATGCATTTGACCGAGGTCAATTTGAAATACTACCAAGGTCTAAAGCAAACTATAAGTCCATTTTTTCAAACGCCGGTCGCTTTATATTACTTTACAAGACAGATAGATCGTTCATCAGCCGCCTTACAATAGCCGTGTCGACGGCGGCATCGAGGCCACTAGCCGATCTAACTCATGAGAGATTACATGTCTTCCTTAGGCAACGAATGAAAGAAGCTCAAGTATAACCTAGGGAAAGAACCGTCCGGAAAGAACATCATAATTCGCATAAATAGCAGTCGTTTTTGAGGCAGTGAAGCCCCCTTCATCGTGTTTATGACCTCCACGCTATCTGATTCTTCCACCACCAAGTTCCGGATCCTGAGTTGCTGTGCTAGAATTGGACCATATCTAAGAGCATATGCCTACGTCATGGATGCGTCTGCCACATGCTCAAGGATATCATTGGAAGCAGGAATGAATCCTCTTTTGTCATCACAAAGAACTGCACTCACAACACCATTAAGATAGTTGGGGTAATGTGGCGTCGACATTGAGTTTAACATAACCCTAGCCGGTCTCATCCATCCCGTTATCTAGATGCTAGTACTCTTCTGCCTCGACTTCCAGTAGTTAGTCATTACTATAATGGCTTTATTGAATGTAATTACCTTGTGTATGATGGTTTTCCATCCAATTTTCGATACCAAAGGAGAGATGCCCGCTTCCATACGTTGTGTCCCACAACACGAGATCAGTCTGGCCGTACAAAGGTCGTACTAATTTTGGTCATACATGTAGCGGCTCTCTTAATAAACGGAAGTATTTATAATAATTCATCTTGAATTTAATGGCTGACATGCGACCTGGATTGAGAGATAAAGCAAAGTTAGTCACGTTGTGAGCCTAGTACTTGGAGCTCCTTCCTTTATGGATGATCCGACATGATGAAGAAGTCGTCGAGCAAGCTTAGATCTCTCGATGATAGCCCATGCAAACCACCCGACCCGCCATGAATGCTAGACACCACAGTCTTAGCAGAGTGGTAGGATCAGAGACGCCATTGAAGACCAATTCTGACGCTCCTATGTGTAGACACTGTTATGATCATGACATACTGCGCCAGTCACTCCCTTGTCCCCATGTTTGACTTACATCTCCATCTAAGAGAGAGAGAGAGAGAGAGAGAGAGAGAGAGAGAGAGAGAGAGTTGGTGCACCGTGAGTTGATGACTTCACCAAGGAAACAAGTTCTGCTCTATAGTTGTTGGTGAAGCTTTGCGTCAACATCAGGCTTTGGAATTCACCATCGTGAATTGCCCTTCTGCTCGTCGTCTAGATAAGCCATAGAGTAACCTCCAATCTAGTAAAGTCGGCATGCGACAATGATTCAATAATGGCGAAGAGCCGCTATTTGGCATTTGGTTCCATCGTGGCGCACATATGATCGACCAGGTCTTCATTTGAGAGTGCCCACATCATGATATTGATCACTCTAGCACCAATAACGCCATGAGTCTTCAGCACCACACAAAGAGGAACAACTTGAGGATGGCACGTTTTGGATAGGCCCTAAAAGCCCTAAAAAGAGGGGGGGGGGGGCGCAAACACCGATCAACAAAGAGATGGACTCCATAGACAAACAGTCCAATGTCACATTGATGCAACCCAACTAGTCCACTCCCATAAGGATGCACATGTAAGAAACCACTGCCAACTCAAACATATTGACGCGCAAAGAAGAAGAAAGAAACAACTGCCAAAGGAAAACATGTATATGTGAAATTTCAGAATCACTCGTTTTTTTATGGGCAGCATGCGCATTTGACACTGCCCAAAACATCGCCTCCCACTACTCTGCGCCAATACCGGTGATGTAAAAGAGATTCATCACATAGGACCACATGAAAAACGCCCATTTACATCATCTTGTGCCAAAGACGGTGTTCCAACAGCCAACATGTGATGTATATGAAAAAAAACTCAGCCGTGAAGAAAAATAAAGGCCATTTAGGGCCCGTTCGGGAGATCTCCAGGAGCCAGCTTCCTAGAATCGATACGTGAAGCCAGTCGAACGCTTCTGCTCCGAGAAGTGGGCTTCGCGGAGAAAAAGAGGCCACAGTGCAATTTTGAGGAGCAGCCGAAGCCCAGCCTCGCTAAAAGGAGAAGTAGAAGTTCCTCGTAATTACATATCGATGCCATCCCGAAGTACCAGACGAAATGTTTTTTTCTCTTCGCTCAAAGCCCAGCTTGGTGGGCCCAACTGTCGGTGTCAAAACCGGCGGATCTCGGGTAGGGGGTCCCGAACTGTGCGTCTAGGATCGATGGTAATAGGAGACGGGGGACACGATGTTTACCCAGGTTCGGGCCCTCTCTATGGAGGCAATACCCTACTTCCTGCTTGATTGATCTTGATGAATATGAGTATTACAAGAGTTGATCTACCACGAGATCGTAATGGCTAAACCCTAGAAGTCTAGCCTGTATGACTATGGTAATGTGTATCTCCATCCGGACTATGCTCTCCGGTTTATATAGACACCGGAGAGATCTAGGGTTACATGGATTCGGTTACATAAGAAGGAATATTCATAGCTGGTCGCCTAGCTTGCCTTCCACGCCAAGGAAAGTCCAATCCGGACACGGGTATAGTCTTCGGTCTTCATGTCTTCACAGCCCATCAGTCCGGCCCAATGGATAATTGGCCGGATGCCCGAGGACCCCTCGGTCTAGGACTCCCTCAGTAGCCCCTGAACCTGGCTTCAATGACGAGGAGTCCGGCGCGCAGATTTGTCTTCGACATTGCAAGGCGGGTTCCCTCCTTCCGAACTCCAGAATAGTCTTCGGATGTAGTAAGTATATCCATACCTGTGCATATAGTTGCAGAGAATACAATATTTCACGAGTCCAATTTTCTGATGACTGTTTATGAAATCGTATCACGCCTGCCCGGTTACTATTTCCAACCGTTGGCTAGCACGTCGCCCCATGTCTCGGGACGCGGTTTTACTGGCACGTCTCGTCAAGGCAGAGATCATGTCCCCTTATTCATGGGATTTTCATTAATGCAGGCGTGGGTAACCCAACCGTCCCCTGGGTACAATTCTTTGGGGATAGGTAAGTTTCGAGACCTAGGTGGAGACACTCAATATTCAGGGTCTTTATATAGGGACCCAGACTCGTCTTCTTCCTTTGCGCTTGCTCCTTCCTCAACCCCAACCACCCCCTCGGGTCCCAATCGCCACCAGCCCTAATCATGTCCGGATCCAGCCGCCGAGGCCGGTGGGTGGCTTCTTCTGTCACAGAGGAGGATATCGCGAAGCTCCGCGCAGCGAGGTATCTGACCCCGGAAATCCTTCATCGGCTTCCTGCACAGGGGCAGGTTATACCTACTCCCAGATCCGACGAGAGGGTAGTATTTGTGTCTCACTTCCTCCATGGGTTAGGGTTCGCGCTCAACCCCTTCGTCCGGGGGCTCATTTTCTACTATGGGCTAGATTTTCACGATCTGGCCCCGGACTCTATTCTTTTCATCTCGACATTTATCATTACATGTGAGGCCTTCCTCCGAACTCCTCCACACTTTGGTTTGTGGCTCAAGACCTTCGACGTGAGGCCGCAGGTGACAGAGGAGGAGCAGGCAGAGTGCGGCAGCGTCATAATAGGCAAGCTTGCTAGAACAGTTTGGTTTGAAGGATCTTTCGCCAAGTCCTCCGACCTATGGCAGCAGGGGTGGTTTTACAGCAATGAGCCGAGAGGCTCCAAGTGGGCGGATACTCCTGCATTCCGACCCGGCCCTCCAATTCAGCTTGCTTCATGGATCAGTAAGGGATTGGACTGGGGATCCGTCAATGAAGTGCAGACTCTGCAAAGTCGCATCCGAAGCCTTATCAAGAAGGGCATCAATCTTATCAACGTCATTCAAGTAATGCTAGTCCGCCGGACCCTGCCATGTCAACGGCGGCCTCTCTGTATGTTGGAGTTTAATCCGGAAGGGCGGCGGACTCTTCAGCACTTCTTCGGCACCACGCACGAAGGAATGTGGAAATTGTATTTCGGGGAAAGAGAGCAATGGTCGGACACCACCGAAGATGTTGGCCTTGACTGCAATCATCCGGACACGGCAGTAAGTATTCAATCTCCGAACAACTTCCATTCAAGCATCTCTTGACAAGATACTGAACAATCCGTCCCTATTCAGGACTGGATAAAGAAAGCGGTGTTAATCTGGTGTCCGACGCCCCTTCCCAAAGACTCTGCGACCGCCCTACTGACGAGAATGCTGATTCCGACACCGTACCAGGTGTCCACAGAGGGGGTGAGAGCAGGGAGCCTAGAGGTGATGCCCGCCTTGAGGATGAATAGACGCTGTGTTCGGGGAAACCGAGACCCCTTTGTCCAAGGGCAAAGG